GCTGTATAATCAACAGTAAAATTTCAATATTTAAACTATTTAAATGTGTCAGTTTTGATTGGAGCACAGACGGCAAAACTTTAAAATTATTTTCTTCCTAAAATAGTATCAACTTTCCCAATTGCCTCTATTTTCTCTCCAAGGGATGTTAATTGAAAATTAATTATTTAACTTGGCACAAGTTCCTAGTATGTCTAGTATATTGTTTGCTTATTGTTAACGAGAAAGTTTTGCAATGAATTTCTGTAATAAGGCGATATTTGATATAGAGTTTGTTGTTTTCAATATTACTTTACAGTAGAACTCATATTTACATTCAAACTTGCAAGTACGTGTTTTTGAACTACGAAATGTGAAAACTATCGGTCTACTGCTGTTCTTTAATTAGTGTTATCTTATATAAAAATCTGATGGTATTTCATTTGACATTTGATTACCAATATCAATTCAAAAAGATCTATAGAATAATTTATTATAAACCTTTCTTTTTTCATATCTAATAAGGGTTTTCGTGATAGAGTACCATATTCGAGCTCCCATTACTGATGTAATCAACTTTGGCCACTAACTAGATTAATTCATTAAATATTTAGCCAACTCTGTCTGCAAACTTTGTTTCCTAGGTTAAAAGGTGACTGGATGGAAGGAACAATGTAGAATTTTGTTTAATGGAATATTTGATGATTTACGTAAAACAAATGGTAAAAATAACTAGGACTTGTGTATCGAAATTTAATGTTGGAGTTGCTCTGATTTCTCATGCATTTTTAACTTTTCGTAGAGTAAGTTATAGTAACTGCGAAAAAATCAAAAATGAATTTTTTTGCATATCTTTAGGTTTCAGAGGTTTTTGAACACTTTGGCAAACCTTAGAAAAAATTAATGTATGTGTGTGTGTGCGAATACAAATTTTTCGTCGACGATTTCGGGAACACGGTTCAACCGTTTACATTCATTCACAAAACATTCGATTCCTATTAATAAGGAGACGTGCTGATTAGTTTTTGGATAAGGCAGGTTCAGTCATTTCGAAGATATGTGGTAAAAAGTTCCAAAAACGGTAAGTCAGTTTTCAAGAGAACGGAGCGTCCGATTTTAATAATTCAAAAAACAAGTATTGACAAGATGAAGAACTGATTAAATTTTTGGGAAGGCAGGACTAGCGGTTTTGGAGATCGAGTAAAAAGAGTAAAAAAATGCCATTTAGCGGTCAAAAATGATCATTAGACATATGCACATTAAATTATCAGATATTTTGAAGATTTTAATAATTTGTACAAATTTTGTTTACATTTTTATGGGTTCCGTAACAATTTTCCACATTCTGTCTCTATGCAGCTAAAGCAGCATGTGATTCAATTAAAAAAGTCAATTTTTTACAAAAATTTCAAAATTCTCATAGATCAATTTTTTTCAAATCTTAAAAAAAATTTTTAGTATTAAAAAAAGCAATTATCTGTTCACAACACACACACACATACATACTTTTTCCAAATTTGGTCTCATTCGATTCAGAATAGCTGGAACCGTCGAGAAAACATAAAATTAGCGAATCGGGTTTTTTGATGAAAACATAAACTTCTCCTTCAGGAAGTTAATTATGTGTACGGAATGCTATATACCACTAGTTTTGGCAAGCAATTAAACTGTATGGATGGTAGTAAGACAAAATAAAAAAATAAAAACTTTATCTTTATATAAATATTCTGGTACATGTTACAAAAATCAATTTTCCCGAAAGACACAATTTTTCACGAATGTTTTTCCCTCATAATTCCTCGATCCGTTCATGGTCGACCGATGACAATATTTCATCTTCCGAAGAAAAATGTGAAATGTGTGAAAACGCGAAAATGGAAATGTCTATGAACTTTATGGCTGCACTATGCGATTCTAATGTTTGTATTAAATCTTCAAGAATGACTGGAAAATGTGAATTTTCATGCCGGAAAATGGCGAAGGATAGATAAATAGTGCCCCATGTGTTATTTGATTTGTGATATATAAATTTTACGGTTGGCGTTTTTGGAGTTTAAGTATGATTTATTCGTTGTTATGGATTATGTAGGGGCTATTGATCATATGTTGGCAAAAATATGTTTTTGTGAGTAATTTTTTAATAATATGTTAGTAATACTTAGGTGCCAAATCTCGGAAAAAATAAAAATGTTGTAAATGGGTTAAGGGTCTATGTTTGTATGAGTTGGTATTTAGAAACTATCAACAAGCTATGCATTTGCTGTGCAATCAGGCGTTTTACACATAAATAAGTTGCACTTATGATAAAATTGTTTTATTTTTCGATTTCCGATTTTAATATTAATTTATGATTAGGTTCTAAAGCTCACTTATATACTTTGAATAAATTATTGTAACTGTGCAATTCAGTTTAAATAATTCTTATAAATATTAGACAATGTTGCAGTATTTAATAATAATTTAATAATAATAATCTATTTGAAAACATGTTTTTATTTATGTTTGTTAATCAAGACTATAATGTCTTATTTACAAAATTGATATGAGCAAAAAAAAATACAAAAATACAAAAAAAATGCAATAAATTGAATATAAAATGAAAAAAGTTAAAATAAAAAATAAAATAAGAACAGTAATACAAACGTCGAAAACATTTAATATTCCTCATATTTATTTTAAACATTTAATATTCCTTATATTTATTTATAATAATTTGCCTTAAGGCACGATGCCATGAACCTCTAGTTTATTCCTGATTTACAACATAATATGTTAAAACAAAAGCTCAATATGTACACGGGTTTATATTTACATGAAAGTGTATATTTCCGAAATATTATATTTTCTCTTTTGTAGGAACAAAACAATTTTGCGAAATGAATTTCCATATATTTCCTAAGGGAAAGGAGTATACAAACATATTGTATTTTATTTTACCAAAAGCCTAAAGCAGGGATCGACTGATAATTTATAAAATTTTAGAAATATACAAAAATATAATTATATACTTGATATATATATATATACTCGTATATATATATATATATATCATATATATATATATTATATATTATATTATATTAATTATGAAGGATATATGAAATTACATCCCATGCCCAAAATAAAGACATTAGGGTTCTAAAAATAGTCAATAAATATGATTGGCAAATTATGAGAGGTATTACGAAACCTTCTGAACATTTTGGCATTCTTGAAGAAAAAGGTTGTATGTATGAATACAATTTTTTGTCCACAATTTCGTGCACATTGATCAACTGATTTGAATAGTTTAAGAAACATTCGATTTCTACTGATGGAGAAACGTGCTGATTAGTTTTTGGCAAAAGTTGGACCAGCCGTTTCGGAGATACGGAATGTAGAAAATGGCAATCAAGTTTTTGAGAGAACGAATCATCAGTTTTGAATGATTCAAAAAACAATTCACATGTATTGACGTATTGAAAAATTGATTAAGTTTTTGCAAATGCAGGTCCAGCGATTTAAGAGATCAAATAAAACATAATTTTAAAAAATGACATATGACAGCCAGATGTTCGCAACAGTTTAGAATGAATCAGAATGAATGAGTATTAAAAAATTTAAAAAAATTGAAAATTTACAAAAAATTTCAATATTTCTAAAAATAATAGTCTTTTTCAGTTTTTATAAGTTATGATAATATTACATTTTCTTAATATTCAAGTTTTTAAAATGTTTTTGAAATTTTCAAAAATGTTAAAATAAATCTAAATTCTAAAAAGAAATCATTTTTATTTCCTGAGCTTTTAAAAATTTTTAATTACGGTTCGGTAATTTTTAGCAATTTACTTTAAGCCATGCACCACTAGTTATATTTCTTGATTAAAATTAAGTTTCTGTTGTTTATTAGATTAGGTAACTTATAATCATATCTATATCATTAAGAATGATAATGATATCATTATGAATTATGAATACTTGAATATAAATTTGTGAAAATATTTTTTGACATATTTGTGTTTTTCCACCACTGTATTTTTCCACCATATTTGATATAGTTTCTCCAACGAAAAAAATGCTTTTTCCTGCCTTATTATATTCGTTTTCAGATGAAAATATGAAAATCGCCGAAAGCAAGGAACAAAATCATGATATATGCCAGTTTCGTATTATGACACGTTAGTAGGTGAACACTGCAGATTTATGCCATTTGTACATTTTCAATTTCATTTCTGTGATTTAGGAGAGAATGGCGTTTGAGATAGGTACGGCTGTCATGAACATCGTTCTGGTTTGTTAAATACAGAAATAATATATAATACATACACCTATTATATGTTACATAATATATATATATATATATATATATATATTTATATATATTTTCTATATATACTAGATAACCCGACAGACGTTGTCCTGTACCCACGTCTACAATTCAAAGATTCCAAATTTTTTAATATCCTATCCTATACTTTTTAATATCCTATTCGATGTCCTGCCTTTGTGATTTATTTATGGTTTTAGCATAAGCATTGTAAGAAATTCAGAAAAAAATATAGTATCTGTGGTAAAAGAACAATATCACCTTTGATTTTACCACACAACATAATTGCTTCAATAATTTAGTCTATAATTTTCATAATCTCCTACGATATATTAGTTGCTTTTAGGCAATTATAATTTCTAAAGTACATTTTTCTTACTAATAATTTAATAAACATTATTGTTTATGTTCAAATCTTAAATGAATTTATTAGTAAAATCTAGTTCATGTGAAAACTCTTTAATCTTATCAAGACAACTTGCTAAATATTTCATATCCAATGCCAAAGAAATAAATTTTTGACACATGAAACAAAATTCTAAATCATTTTTTTAAACTAGAAATATTTGTTTGTATTGTTAAATAATTTAATAAAGTAAACCAAAATGCGACATGCATAAGTTTAAAAAAATAATGTATTTGCAATCTTGGATTTATTGCGTTATTTATTAAACTGAATCATATAATTTCATCTGTCAAACACATACAGTTGACTGTATCCTATTTTTTAATTTCTCGCATATCTCAGCTGCTTTTCGGCAATAATAATGTAGAGATTGCATTTTTCTTGTATATTATATTCTAACATTATCTAGGCTCATAATTTCAGCTAAATTCGAATTTCAAGTGAATTGACATTTCTAGCAGATGACAGTTCAAATGTTTTCAATGTCAAACAATGATAAGTGTTTTTTTGTAATTTTTGCCATTTATTTCTACAATATCACTATAGTTTTATCGTTCATTAAATCTTAAAAAAATCCTTTGACAAACTCTAAAAAGAATGATCAAATTCCGAAAAACGGTTTAGAAGAAATATCAAATCGTACACGCGTACAGAAAAATTTTATATATAAAATATATTCATTCAGTGCAATATACTATCAAAATTTGGTATCCATATATTAATTAAATTTTAATTGTAATCATATTTCAACTTACCAAGTGCTACGGATACTCCGGTCCTGCCCTTTGTGAGTAAAAAAGCGGGTCTCAAACTGTTAGCATCGTCCAAAAGATGAGGCAAAAAATTATATGCCGTTGGCACCCTCAAAGTTGTAGAAACATTGAAACCGGGCCGAAGAAATGTCATATTTCGGAGTAAGGACCTTGCTTCGTCTGAAAGGGAAATAGAAAATTAAGAAAAAAATGTTGAAAAAAGAACCACATGGAGCAGTTGCAAGAGGCATTTTGCCTTAAGGCAAGTTGCATAAACTTCCCGAAAGTTTTCTCAAAAACGGCTGGACCGATTTCAAAAATTTAAAAGCCATTCGATGTATCTCGATGGAGGACTAGCGTTTGCCAGTTTTGTGCGACGATCTGCCGAGCCGTTTCTTTGTAATTTGAAAAAAAGTGTTAAACTTTTCGTCCACATTTAAGCTCATACTACCGAATCGATTTTGAAAAATCAAAACTGTTCGAAAGATATTAGTTGGGAATGATACTGATTAGTTTTAGGTGAAAATCTACCGAGCCGTTTTCTTGTAATTAACTGTTGAAAAAAAATTAAGCCGATTTTTATGGAACTTTTTTTGGCGATATATATCATGGTCTTATAGAACTTACTGAATTATTACGGCCTTACGACAAGTAGTTTAATTTTTAAAACTCATCAAAGTTTGAGAAAATTAGTAGTATTTTTGACGTTTGTTAAAATTAAAATTAGACAATTTACTTGATACAATAATAAAGTACTTGGTGTTAATGATAATGAACATACTAAACCAGATTAAGATTTTTGAAAATTTGCTCTTAGAAAATACTCGGAGTTAACGTGTTCGTTCGTTTTCAATTATGCGTAATAAATCCACTCGGAATACTTTTAATCACTCATGAATTAATTTATTTTTTATTTATTAAGTGGATTTTTTACACATATCGGGAAGTCTATGTAACTTGCCTCAAAACAAAATACCAATACCAATTAGTTTGTTCTATGATTTTACTCTTGTAAATCCAAGTGAAACAATTTATTTTCCCAAAGCTGTCGTTTTCAGTCGGTCCATTAATAAAACGTTAATGTGGGCTAGTAGAAAATTAAAGTCTGTTCTCTACAGACTTCATTGTGCCGAAGTAATCTTTTGTTGAATTCAGGATCCTTTGTAAGGAATTCCCCTGCTCCTTTCTTCTAATCTATTAGGAGATTTTATAACAAAAGGGCTAATTTACAGCACTAAACACGGTTTTACAAAGGGCTCATTATAATTGGAATTATAAATATAATAATAATGTTTTGGGTAGCTTGCTTAGAAGTACTCGTATGCAAATGCTTTAACAAATACTAAATTAATACTACTCAATTAATGTGAATAAATACTAAACGTATTCAAGACATGCTTTTTCTTTAAATAAGTATAAATGCATCATGCTTTGAAAATATTTTGCACTAAAAAAATTAAACTATGATTCAGAATGAATCATTTTTTACATAAAATAAAAAGCTTACCCTGCGGGAAGATAATAAATCGAATAAATAATATTAAGATTTTCGTCAATTAGTAAATTTATCTTGAAGTCAACTAGAAAAACTTTCACTACCAAATCAAATATTTATTATTAACTTCCCGTAGGGTAAGTTGTAGTAATCGCGAATAAATCGAAAATGAAAACTTTTATATATCTTTACGTTTCAAAGGTTTCTGAACATTTTGACATACCTTAGAAAAAATGGATGTGTGTGTGGTTGTGCGGATACAAATTTTTGTCGACGATTTCGGGAACACGAATTAACCAATTTGAATAATTCAAAAAGCATTCGATTCGTATTAATAAGGAAATGCGCTGCTTAGTTTTCGGCAGAAGCAGGTGTGGCCGTTTCGAAAAAACGGGGAAAAAATTCCAAAAATGGTAATTGATTTTTTGACATTTTATTTGTAAAAAACATTTCATTTGTATTGACTAAACGAAGAACTGTTTAAATTTTTAGATAGGCAGGCGGAAAAAACATTTTGTTTGTGTAGATGGTGCGCAAAAAATTTTCAAAATCATTTTCGAAATAAATCTAAATTATGAAAAATTAATAAAAATATCAGAATTTAAAAAAAACTATATCTTATAAAAATTTGAGAATGTTTCGAAATTTTCAAAAAAAAAAAATCGAATATATTCATTCTCAAAATATTTAAAAAATCGCATTTTTCCAAAAATACCAAAAAAATACAAACTTTTAAAAAAATTCAAAATTATAAAAATATCAAATTTAAAAAAAAAATTGAACGATTTTCTTGTAAACATATACATAAGTTGTTTGTAGAATAAGCTCGTCGTCCAATTTCATAAGCCCTTATAGGTTTACAGTATGTATTTATAACAAATAATCAATTTGAAATCATTCAAAACAAATATTGATTATTTTCATTCCTCGAATGTTTAATTACGGTACGAGAAGTTCCAGCAATTTGCCTTAAGACACGATGCCATGCACCACTAGTATTATTATCACATTGCATATTTTATTTCACTTACTGCTCAATGAATCCAGCAATCCATTAGTAGTAGAAGCATTTTCTTCAGCTGTCGGACCAACTACTCCTGCTCCGGTAGCTGCAGCGGCTAAAAGTAGCTTCTGCTGCCCTAAATGTTGAGCCAAAAGCGTGACGTCTTCCTGACGAGCTCGGTACATCGCCTCCAAATATTGCAGGCGGACCTGGAGCTCTGCTAATCGCTGAGAGAGGCTCTGCTCCGCTCCTGGATCTGGAAAAGAAAAAAAATCATTTATTAAAATTTACTTTCTAATAAAACAGTCCACCTAATTAATTAAAACATTTTTACTAGGGGCATGAAAAATCACAAGCATCGTCGATTGGAAAAAATCCATCGAATGCAATAAAAATCTCATTACGAGAAAAAGTAAACTATCTCAATCGAATTGCTCGAATAAGAGAAAATCCAAAGTCTTTAATAACATCTAGGAGGTATATTCTTTTTCTCGCATTTTCCGATTTTTTCACAACGCCCGGTTGAGTTTTATTAGATTTTCTTCTTTCTCACACGTCTCGACTATTAGATCTTTTCCTTTGAATGAAAATACCAGTTTTTTGTGTAATATTGGAATTCGCCTTGATGGAATACTTAAACGAGAAATAAAAGGATCCATTGGATATATATATATATATATATATATATATATATATATATACTAGATGACCCGACAGACGTTGTCCTACACCCACATCAATAATTCAAAAGTTCCACATTTTTTAATATATACTTTTAATATCATATTTTATGTCCTGCCTTTGTGGTTCATTTATGGTTGAAATATTGAATGTTTCAACTTTAAATTTTTGCCAAATATTCAGTAAAGTGTAGTAACAATGTATGTCAAGTTTCATCAAAATCAAATTATGCATTTTTGAAAACGTACAATCTGTTTCGATACTAGTATTGAGAGCGGAGCCAGCCAGCCACCCATCAACCTTGCATATCTCAAAAACTATTGAATGTTTTAACTTTGAATTTTTGTCAAAAATTTAGTAAAGTGTAGTAACAATGTGTGTCAAGTTTCATCAAAATCGCAAAATGCATTTTTGAAAACGTACAATCTGTTTCAATAATTGTATTGAAAGGGGAGCCAGTCACCCATCCATACCTCGCATATCTCAAAAAGTGTTGAATGTTTTAACTTTAAATTTTTGTCAAATATTTAGTAAAGTGTAGTAGCAATGTATTTATTAAATTTTCCTTGACAAACTCTAAAAAGAATTATCAAAATCCGAATAACCGTTTAGAATAAGTATCAAATCATACACCCGCGCAGAAGAATTTTATATACAAGACGTTTTCTAGTTTAGACTTCACTAATTCGACAAAATATGAGTTTATTTGACTTCTCCATACCTATTGAGCTTCATGTTAAAGCTCATTTTAGAAATGAACATTAAATTTGTAAACTTCTGTTTCCGCGGACTTTGCTGACATAATTCTCTTCGACTTTACCAAGAAACTTCAAGAACGGCCCTGTAATTGCTTTAGGATTTTGTTCGGACTTTATTATTTGCTATGCATATAAAAGTTTGAACGATATCCACATTTCAGCACGGATAATAAGCATTATTGGAGAAAATATAAAGTTTTAAATAGGTACACACATAATTTAAATATTTTTTATTTCATGGTCCATTCCAGAAAGTTCCAGTTCCAAAAGAACTTGAATTGAATTTTTGAAATTAAAGTACTTGTCGTAGGGCCGTAAAATGTTTAGGACCATGACGCCATTACAACAATCAACATAAAAAATTACATCAAACAAAAATTTCAACGGTTAATTACGAAAAAAACGGCTCGCCTGACCTCTGTACAGAACTAATCAGCACGATTCTCAAATAATATGTTTCGAATAGTTTTGGAATTCTTGAATCCAGTCAGAATTTTTGGCTAAAACGTGGGCGTTTTTTTTTTTACTTTTCTCTTAATTGCTAAGAAACGGCTCGGCCGATCGTCGTACAAAACTAAGAAACGATATCGAGATATATCGAATGGCTTTTAAGTTTTTGAAATCGGTTCAGGCGTTTTTGGGAAAACATCGATTTAAGTTAAAAAATCTGTTCTTACACACTTATATACTTTTTCGAAATTTGGCCTCATTCGATTCAGAATGGCTTGAAACGCCGAGAAAACATAAAAAGCGAATCGGATTTTTGATGAAAACATAAACTCCTCCTTCGAGAAGTTAAAAATATATTGTTGATAACATAAAAGTGATCTAAATTTTGGAGTCTGATCCTGCCAGTGCTGAATCAATTTTCAGTAAAAAATTATAATCTATAATACCTTGATGTAAATCAAATACTAGCTGTAAGTGGAATTCTGTCTTAAGGCAATTAAGGCATCGTGCCTTAAGGCAAGTTGCTGGAACTTCCCGTGCCAAAATTATTATTTTTTTAAAAACGATTAACATTTTTGAAAAAATTTCACTTCGAAAAAATAAGATTTTTTAGAAATTTTAAATCGGACAAAAAATTACTTTTTTTTGAAAAAAAAATTTTTTTTAAAAAAAAAATTTTTAAACCATTTTTTTTATAAAAATTTTTTTTGGAAAAAATGTTATCTTCATTTTGATATATTTGGAAGATCTGAACTTTTTTCAAAGCAATCGTACTGCTTTAACTGCATAGAGACGAAATATAGAAGCGCGTAAGCGCCGCGTCGCTGTCTAACGGAAAAACAATAGTACGGAACCCATAGGAATGTAAACAAAACTTAAACTTATTGTTAAAATCTCAATAAAATATCTGATAATTTGATATGCATATGTCTAATGTCTAATGATTATTGTTGACCGCCAAATGTTATTTTTTTTAGTTTTTTTTACTAGATCTCCGAAACCGCTAGACCTATCTTCATGAAAATTTGATCAAATCTTCATCTTATTAATACAAGTAAAATGTTTTTTGAACTATACAAATCGACGCTCCGTGCTCTTAAAAACTGAGTTACCGTTTTTGTCACTTTTTGCCCCGTATCTCCGGAACGGCTAGAATGTTTTTTGAATTATTCAAATTGCTTCATCCGTGTTCCCGAAATCGTCGACGAAAATTTGTATCCGAACACACACACATGCACGCACACACACAACACAATACATCAATTTTCTCCAAGGTATGCCAACATATTCAGAAACCATACCAGATATATAAAATTTTCATTTTCGATTTTTTTGCGATTACTTACCCTATGGAAAATTAATTATAAATAATCAATTTATCATCTCCAGAACTTTAACAATCGTCATTTCATTTTGAATCAAATTCCAAAAAAAAAATAGTTGCCAAATTTACCCAAAATTGAAAAGTGCTCCCGCATAGTCACAGTCTAAACGCATTTGCAAATAATTCTGTGCGACATTTTCACTTATACTGTGCTCAGCTTGGCGGCATTTTCACATTTTTCAATAATTTTCACAAAATTGGAAAAGTGCTCCAGTACACAAACAGTCTAAACGCACATGGGTAAACATTTGTACCAGAGTGGCGCTTAGACTGTTCTTAGCTTGGGTGATTTTTTGAATTTTTATCCAAAATTACAAAAAAATTTTTTTGAAAAAAAAATTAGAAACAAAAATTTTTTTTTTTCCAAAATCAATTATTTTGTTGAAAAAAGCAGAAAGTTCTTTGAATCATTTAAATCGGACGCTTAGTTCTCTCAAAACAGCAATTTTTTTTAAATTTAGCTCTGTATCTCCGAAACCTCTGGGCCTACCTTTGCCAAAAACTAATCAGCACATCTCCCTATCAATAGGAATCGAATGTTTTTTAAACCATTCAAATCGGTTGATCCGTTCTCTTAAAAACTCGCTTTCTATTTTTTGCACTCTTTGCTCCATATCTCCGTAACGGCTGGACCTGCCTTGCCAAAAACTAATCAGCACATCTCCCTATCAATAGGAATCGAATGTTTTTAAACCATTCAAATCGGTTGTGACCGTGCGCCGAAAACGTGGACGAAAAAAAGCGGACATAAAAAAACCACACACACACACACACACAACACACACACACACATCCATTTTTTCTGAAGTATGCCAAAATGTTCAGAAACCTTCAAACGTCGAGAAATGTAAAAATTTTCAATTCCGATTTTGGACGATTACTATAACTTACCCTACGGGAAGTTAATAAAAATTTAACCTGCAGTCAAATATCTAACAGAGTCTCATAAATGTACACTGCCCCCAGGTTAAAAAATGATGCCTTAAAAATATCCTGGAATGGGTGTACTTTTACTTTGTGACATATGAATCATCAAATGTTCTATAAAATTACCTAGAGCAGCATTTTTATTATTTTTGAATTAGCATTTTCTGAATGTCCTTAAGAAGTCCTGTAATAGAATGTTTCCTAATAGATTTATAAATACTCTGAACTATCTTAGTATATTCTAGGTACACTAATTCTACTAATTCTAAACTATGTTAGAAATGCCCTGGAATACATTGATATCCTATTTTAGTCTTTCTAAATTATGACTTGACTTCAAAAAGATGTTCGAGAAAATAATTTTTTGTACTTTAGAATCTGTTCCCCTGGTATGGTTCGTTCCTGTTGTGCAACTTGAATTAAGAGTAAGTAGTAATTCTAATTTATGTTAGATGTCCTGAAATACATTGATATGTTATTTTGGTCTTTCTGAATTATGACTTGGCGATACTTCAATTAAAGATGCCTTAGAAAATAATTTTTTGCACTTTAGAATCTGTCCCCCTAACATGGTTCGTTCCTGTTGTGCAACTTGAATTATGAGTTAGTGAACATAAGCAGCATATGGATAAGTTCCGGCGATAATAATAGGAATTGAATGCCGTAATAAAAACCTGTTATTGTGCGTTGTCGTGTATTTGACGACGATTTCATTGCAATTTTACCGTATGTATCTCTGATTTTACTGTTAGCGTCAGCTCGATTTACCCACGTCTGATGGTAAGTACCTGACGTATGGAGGCAGCAGCCTGGGTAAAAGGGGTCGGTGTCCAATTTCCTAATGTGCAATGAATTGGAAACTTGTTAAAAATCAAGATGGTATGATCAGATATTTTGTTAGATACAGAAGGTATTTAAAGAGATAAGTTTCAATATTCTAAGGCGCATGAAGATAAGCAAGATCAAACTTGCTGATGTCTATTTACTCAATAATATTAACAGAACTTCATTAGAACAACGTTCGTGATATTATGTATTAATTATTTTAGAAATACT